GATGAAGTGAGCTGTAGCTCACGAAAGCTTATGCTCAAATAAATTGGTTAGTCTCTAAGGTGCCACAAGTACTCCTTTTCAAATTGTACCAATTTAGCTAAATCAATTTAGAAAACAGCAAAGTTAAATTGGTGCAATTTCTGTGCGTAGACCAGGCCTAAATGTTAAAGCCAACCTAAAACAAACTGTTATCAAGGTGTTTTTAGTTTGACATGAAGTGGGAAGTGACAAATTACATATTCCTATAGCTCCTTTCAGCTGAGGATCTCAAAGCACTTTACAAAAAGGGGCTACTATTATTGCTATTATACAGATTGGGAAACTGAGGCACGGAGAAGTGAAAGGATGAGCTGAAAGTCTCACAGACAGTCAGTGACAGAGTGAAAAAAGAACCCCGGTTTCCTGGCTCTCAGTGTCCTACACTAAGTACTAGACAGCGCTGCCTCTCTTGAATTCTTGAGGGCAAGGATGTTCTCTCCTGAAATTTCTCCTTGCAGCCCCAAGAAGGTTAAGCCAAACATTCAAACTTTGGGGTTGTTCTCCTAAGCAAGCAGAACTTTTTAGGTATTTACTCATCATTAGCAGAGATCCTTCAACATGGGATCTGGTAGAAATCAGTACAATCCTCAGAGTAGTTGCATACCTAGCTTAAAACCAGCATGACCTTTGTCTATTACTTCAGATCCATCCTATTTGAAAATAATTTCAATGGAGGGGAAGTATAAAAAGGAACATTACAAAAATAGCACTAACAACCCATTATCTTCATCATAAAAATTACGCAGAGATGGAAAGTTCCCATTAAGGTACATCTTGTTCTTTCCTCACCAGACCAGTTCAGGGTTATTCCTTATAATACAGTACAGCTGGATGGCAGTGTACAGGGGCGGCTCTACCAATTTTGCCGCCCCAAGCAGTCGCCGCTGAATTGCCGCCGCCGCAAGAGAGGCGGAGCTGCCGCCGAATTGCCACCGCGGGACACAGACTGCCTCCCCATTCTGAATGCCGCCTCAAGCACCTGCTTGGAAAGCTGGTGCCTGGAGCCGGCCCTGGCAGTATATTATACAGTCCAATTTAAAAGGACTTAAGAGAAAGGCCTTCCACAACTCCACTTGGAAGACCATTCCACAGCCTAATAGATCTCAGTATTAACCATCCCATATGCTGAATGCTTTGAGACGTGTACTGCTAAGAACACTTCCGTATTGGCAGGTTGATGGTCTATATGTAAGGCTACAATTTAGTCACGGAGATCGTGGAAGTCACAGAATTGGTGAGTTCCAGCAACCGCCATGACTTCAGCCTGCGGTGGTCAGGAGCTGCAGGGTCCCCTGCCATCCACAGGGGCAGGGAGCTCCTGGGCACCCCCACCACCTCTGGCGGCCCCCAGAGCTCCAAGCAGCCTCAGGTGGTGGTGGCACCCCGCAGCTCCCAAATGCCGTGGGCGGCAGGGGAACCCCTGAGCTCCCAACTGCAGTGAGTGGTGGGGGCCCCTGGAGCTGCGGGTGATGGGGAACCCTGGAGCTCCCAATGCCGCAGGTGGCAGGGGAACCCCTGAGCTCCTGGCTGCCACAGGCCCCTAGAGCCATGGCGGCAGGGGTACCTTGCAGCTCCCTGCTGCCACAGGGGGCAGAAGCACCCCACAGCTCCTGGCCATCATGGGTGGTGGGGGAACCCCTTGAGCTGTAAGCTGCTGCAGGTGGCTTGGGCCTGCAGCTTCCAGCTGTAGGTGGCAGGGAACCCTCGAGCTCCGATACCCAACCTGCAGTGGGGGCCCCTGCAGCTCCTAGCTGACGTGCAGCTGCCCCACAGCAGCCAGTGTGGGGACCTGCAGACACCCATTTTGTCACAGATATTTTTTGTAAAAGTCACAGACAGGTCACGGCTTCTGTGAATTTTTCTTCATTGCCTGTGACCTGTCCCTGACTTTTACTAAAAATATCTGTGACAAAATCTTAGCTTTAACTATATGAGATAAAAGATATTTTCATATCTAGTGTCTATGATTTCTTTAAAACATAGAATTTTGCCCCAACAGACAGGGTCTTTTATAAGCACCTGTATAGTGATGCCCTAATAGAGTGTAGTAAATGCGTTTGAGATCCAGTTTGACATATCTAATCAGATTATTCTTACTAACAAAAAGAACAGCTGAAGGTACAAAATGTCTTTATGGTAACTGCTGACTTAAAAAAACAACAACCCAAAACAGTGTTGCAGTTGGCTTAAGGCCATTGAAGAGTTTGTTCTTGTTTAAGGGCCCCAGCCTAACATCAGCATGAGGCACAGGCCTCTTCCAGAGCAATACTGGTGAGATGTTACTGCAAAGTTTTACCAGAAATATTTCAGCAAGTGAAAAGATTTATCCTGCATGACCCATCAGATTGCTGTTCTGGTAAGAGATAAACCCATAGGGCCTGATGATTTGCCAAATTACTGACCTTTGTCAACACCACTTAAAGTCAATGGGAGCCAGGAGCAGTCAATACCTCTGAAAAGCAGCTCCACAGCACCTAATTCATCCCTGTTCTTATTCAGCTGAAGTGGCTTTACACCAGGGATGACTTTGGGCCACAGGGCCAAGTTTTAGCCTCATTTACACCCATATAATCTCACTGAGGTTGGATACGTTTCAGAGTAGCAGTCATGTTAGTCTGTATTCGCAAAAAGAACAGGAATACTTGTGGCACCTTAGAGACTAACAAATTTATCTGAGCATAAGCTTTCGTGAGCTACAGCTCACTTCATCAAAGCTTAGTCTCTAAGGTGCCACAAGTACTCCTTTTCTTTTTGAGGTTGGATAGTGTCACTGAGGTTAGAATTTAGCCCGTAAAAATAAAATGGCTCTAGGCTGGTTGAGTTGTATAATAAAACCTGAGATAAAGATAAAGATATCTTAAAACACAACTCTTAAACATCAATCACATCTGAGTGGTTCACAATCATCACTGCTATGTTAACAGGCCAGCAACATGGCTGAGTGCACCATACTGCATTCCGCAGCTACCAATCTATATGATCATTCAGAAGAATGCGCCAGACAGTTCTACATGAAATTCCAATTCCCCTAGGCACTGAGTCACCTTTTTGATTTCCAGATCACCACTCAGGGCTGACACAATATGAGGTACATACATCCCACTGCAGGCATGGGGCTGTTCGTGTATCAAGAATGTGTGCATGATGTACAGATTGTAATGGAATGAAATAATACAATTGGAAAGGCATCCAACTCATATTTATAAATATTTCAGATTTACTGTATGATAATACTCAGCACCTTTTACTGCACTTTATTTATTCAAAGCTCTTTGCAAACATTAATTAATTAATTTCCCTTTCCTCCCAATACCTCTGGGAGGGAGGTGGATAAATATTATTATCCCCAGTGTACAGATGGGGAAACTAAGGTAGGTAAATCCAGGATAAGAAGTCAGGATTACCTGACTCTTAGGCCTGCACTCACTTCTCTAAGCCACACTGAATGGCACTATAGTTGTCTTGCTGTATGAAACTACAGTAACCTAGCCATCGCCATACTGGATCACAACAGTGGTGCACCCAGTCCAGTATTCTGTCATTGGCTGTAGCCAATACTACATTCTTCAAAGGAAGGTGGAAGAGGCCCATTCAGTATGAACATGTCCTTAGGACAGGTATCTTTTGAATCTCAGGCAACTATGCCCAGATCTTCAAAGCTATTTCATGGAGTTAGGTGCCTAAACACATTAGAGGATCTGGACTTAGTGGTTGGCTTATTATATAAAGCATGAGGGTTTATACCTCTTGCACATTATTTATACCTCTTGTTCTCATGATTCATGGACGTGTCTAATTCTTTTTTTGGATCATGCCACACTCTTTGTCTCAGTCACACCTAGCGGCAACAAGTTCCACTAGTTTATTATGTATTGCTCAAAAAACTACTTCCGTTAATCAGTTCTAAATGTATTGCTTTTCAATTTTATTGAACATCTCTTTGTTCTTGTATTATGAGAAGGGATAAACAGGACTATCAAATTTACCTGCTCTATCCCATTCATTGTGTTGTAAACCGCTTTCACATCTCCTTTTACACCTCTCATCTCTACACTCAACAATTTTGATCTTTTCAGCCTTTACCAAGTCTCTTTATGCCTTTAAATAATTTTTGTCACCCATCTCAGAGCCCCCTCATTTTCGATCTCCTTTTTTATATAAGATAACCAAAACTGAGTGCATCATTACAGCAGATGGTATCCCATTGATTTATTATAACAGTATTAGTGGATGGGGCAGGGGTACCAGGGGGGCTGTCAGGGAACAGGGGGGGTTGGATGGGGGAGGATTCCTGAGGGAGGGGGCTGTCAAGGGGTGAGAAGCAGGGGGAAGGGATGGGGGGAGGGGCCAGGCCATGCCTGGCTGTTTGGGGAGGCATAGCCTCCCCAGCCGACCCTCCATACAATTTCCGAAACCTGATGCGGCCCTTAGGCCAAAAAGTTTGCCCACCCCTGCCACAGAACATCACAGCTGGCACAGGATCCCCATCAAACTCTTCTTTTCCTCCCTGACTGGACCAGTCCCACTTCTAAGATCAGGGTGCACCTGGGTGTGGTAGATTTATTTAAAGTTTGTTGGCTGGTGTCTGTAGCAGCTCAAGAGGCATAGTTGTCCTAAAGCCAGAAACACAGGAAAAAGTGCCTCTTTCCTCCAGAAAAGACAGAAGTGCTTCTCTGCTGGCTGGAGACAGAGATTATGTTTTTCATCCCAGCCAGGTGCAGAAAGCAGGTGAAAACTACAAGTAGCTTTTCCCTTGGGGATCTAGTTACAGTGTTTTGCACAGTTGCCTTGGGAATGTAAAATGACAGGATCACCTGTCTGCAGGGGAGGTAGCCAGGACATAAGCAACTACTCAGAGCCCACTCTCCATTTACCTGTTGCAGGAAGAGCCCCAGGAGAAACGACATGAGAGAGAAGGGATTGAAGAAGAAGTAGGAGGGAGCTGCCAGGCTGGGACTAACCTTTTCTGCTGCAGCAAACTGATTTCATCCAGGCGTCTGGTCCAGGATTTTTCAGTCTGAAATCTGTGCAACAGAGAGTTCCAGAGCCCAAGGAGCAGCCCATGATCCCCAGGCAGGAACATCCCCATTGTCCTGTGTTCTCCTCGTCAGCTGAACTCAGACCTGCTGCTCTATCCCCTTCTTCCTGTGATGTTTCTTTGTGAATGACTCTCTACTTCTTCATTCCAGGAGGGCAGGATGATCTGAGTGGGAGATGGATGCTCCTTCAGAAAATGTCAGTTTGGGAGAGAGGTGGATGGTTACAACATTTAGTTGAGGCAGGCACCTGGCTGTGTCTCAGAAACAGATACTACCTGCCGGGGAGTTGCTGAGAGCGAGAACACACCCCTCTCTACTAAGTTACCTTCTGATTTAAAGAGACACAGCTTTGTTTGGAAGCCGCTCAAACTCCCACATGTCTATTGAGCAATCTCACTTCTAAGCTACACAGAACTTCCACTGGATATTTTAAAGCTGATAAGAATTTTTTTAAGAACAAGCAAAGGATGTAGAGAATTCTTCTGTAGAGAATTCCGCATTACAAAAGAGCATTCTGACCACTGGGCCATGGGCTACTCTGAGGTGTGTTTAGGGGTGGAGGGAGGCATCTTTCAATTTCTGCTATTGAAGCTGTTTCACTTTGTATAAATAATTAAATATTTATTGGCACAAGGAATTGAATGTGGGCCTCCTGTGTGTGTGTCCTAACATGGGCTATACAGTCATTCTCACACTCTCTTTTTGTCCCAATGACTAGTCATTATCATTATGAATGACTATGAATTGGCACTATGAAAGACAATGGGTAGTTATTGGCCTAGGGAAAGTGTGTGAGAATGATTGCATAGCCCCGTGGTTAGAGCACTCACCTGCTGGAGGAAGTGGGGAGATAGAACCTGAATCACCCATGCCATGGATGCATGCCCTAACCTCTGGACTAAAAGTTATGGCAGGGGTGCCTCATCTGGCCATTTGCAAATCTAGTGCCTGGAAAAATGCCCCAAATAAAACCATTTCAATTTGCCAAAATTTTTCAAAATGTTAGGGTTTGGTTCTACCAGAACTGATTTTTTTTTCAATTTTTTGGAACTGCCAGTAAACTGAAAAATTAGTTATTTGCCAAGCTTTGCAAGCCTGGCTCACTACATTACTCCTGGGGGAATTCTGCACAACTGCACAATGCAGAATTTGTGCAGAAGTCCATGTTTCCCCACAGAATTGAGGCTGCAGAGCTGCTGGGTGCCACTAGGGGCCACTGGACTCTGCAGAAGCCAGATTTGCAGTGAGCAGAGTGCCTAGCCCACTGGGGATGAAGGCTCATAAAGCTTTGGCTGCTTGGCTTAATCCTCATTCTCTTGGAGACAGGAGAGGTCCTGGGAGACCAAGCTCTGGCAAAGGGTGAAGAAGGGCAGGGCCACACTGCAACACATCCCCCAGCTGGACAGTAAAGAAGCTCGGGGGAGTAAAGGCTCTGGGGGTGCAGGTGTCTGGGCTGGGGGGTGCCCCATGGCTGGGCTCTGAGGGGAGGAGAGTGTGGGCATCTGGGATCTGGGGGTCCCACGCAGCCCGCTCCAACACCTCCCAACTGGAAGTGGGTTGTCATAGGGGTTTCTTTAACTCTCTACTCTTGGGAGAATTTTGTTGTTGTTGTCAGTATTGTTGACATACTTGTAGACAGGTATTTTGAAATAAATTACCAAAATAATTCAAACTGGAGTGATTATATTGTGCTATTTTGACAAGCAAAATATGCAGAATTTTGCAAAATTTTAAAATACTGTGTTCAGAATTTTTAATTTTTGGCACAGAATTCCCCCAGGAGTAGCACATGCACATCCCAAAGACCAGCTCCCTCCAGGCCTGCCAATGCTGCTATCCTCTCCTTTCCCACCAGGAGGCCTGCAAATGAGCCCCCTTTCAATGAGTCCTGGAACCACTCCTCCCCCTGCATGTATAGTAAAATGTGTAGGGTACTGGGGATGGTGAGGAGTGGGGAAGGGAGGAGGGGCTTCAGTTTCACTTCTCATCAATTGCAAGACCCTTCCATGCTCACACCAACAAAACTGTCCCCACAGGTGGCACATTTTTATGACTTGGAAAATCTCACCCCAGATCAGGATCCGAACAGGATCCTGCAGCAGGATATGAACCCTGGACTTCAGGAAAGCAGACTTCGACTCCCTCAGGGAACGGATGGCCAGGATCCCCTGGGGGACTAACTTGAAGGGGAAAGGAGTCCAGGAGAGCTGGCTGTATTTCAAGGAATCCCTGTTGAGGTTACAGGGACAAACCATCCCGATGAGTCGAAAGAATAGTAAATATGGCAGGCGACCAGCTTGGCTTAATGGTGAAATCCTAGCGGATCTTAAACATAAAAAAGAGGCTTACAAGAAGTGGAAGGTTGGACATATGACCAGGGAAGAGTATAAAAATATTGCTCAGGCATGTAGGAATGATATCAGGAGGGCCAAATCGCACCTAGAGCTGCAGCTAGCCAGAGATGTCAAGAGTAACAAGAAGAGTTTCTTCAGGTATGTTGGCAACAAGAAGAAAGCCAAGGAAAGTGTGGGCCCCTTACTGAATGAGGGAGGCAACCTAGTGACAGAGGATGTGGAAAAAGCTAATGTACTCAAGGCTTTTTTTGCCTCTGTCTTCACTAACAAGGTCAGCTCCCAGACTGCTGCGCTGGGCATCGCAAAATGGGGAAGAGATGGCCAGCCCTCTGTGGAGATAGAGGTGGTTAGGGACTATTTAGAAAAGCTGGACGTGCACAAGTCCATGGGGCCGGACGAGTTGCATCCGAGAGTGCTGAAGGAATTGGCGGCTGTGATTGCAGAGCCATTGGCCATTATCTTTGAAAACTCGTGGCAAACGGGGGAAGTCCCGGATGACTGGAAAAAGGCTAATGTAGTGCCCATCTTTAAAAAAGGGAAGAAGGAGGATCCTGGGAACTACAGGCCAGTCAGCCTCACCTCAGTCCCTGGAAAAATCATGGAGCAGGTCCTCAAAGAATCAATCCTGAAGCACTTGCATGAGAGGAAAGTGATCAGGAACAGCCAGCATGGATTCACCAAGGGAAGGTCATGCCTGACTAATCTAATCGCCTTTTATGATGAGATTACTGGTTCTGTGGATGAAGGGAAAGCAGTGGATGTATTGTTTCTTGACTTTAGCAAAGCTTTTGACACGGTCTCCCACAGTATTCTTGTCAGCAAGTTAAGGAAGTATGGGCTGGAAGAATGCACTATAAGGTGGGTAGAAAGCTGGCTAGATTGTCGGGCTCAACGGGTAGTTATCAATGGCTCCATGTCTAGTTGGCAGCCGGTATCAAGTGGAGTGCCCCAAGGGTCGGTCCTGGGGCCGGTTTTGTTCAATATCTTCATAAATGATCTGGAGGATGGTGTGGATTGCACTCTCAGCAAATTTGCGGATGATACTAAACTGGGAGGAGTGGTAGATACGCTGGAAGGGAGGGATAGGATACAGAAGGAACTAGACAAATTGGAGGATTGGGCCAAAAGAAATCTGATGAGGTTCAATAAGGATAAGTGCAGGGTCCTGCACTTAGGACGGAAGAACCCAATGCACAGCTACAGACTAGGGACCGAATGGCTAGGCAGCAGTTCTGCGGAAAAGGACCTAGGGGTGACAGTGGACGAGAAGCTGGATATGAGTCAGCAGTGTGCCCTTGTTGCCAAGAAGGCCAATGGCATTTTGGGATGTATAAATAGGGGCATAGCGAGCAGATCGAGGGACGTGATCGTTCCCCTCTATTCGACATTGGTGAGGCCTCATCTGGAGTACTGTGTCCAGTTTTGGGCCCCACACTTCAAGAAGGATGTGGATAAATTGGAGAGAGTCCAGCGAAGGGCAACAAAAATGATTAGGGGTCTGGAACACATGAGTTATGAGGAGAGGCTGAGGGAGCTGGGATTGTTTAGCCTGCAGAAGAGAAGAATGAGGGAGGATTTGATAGCTGCTTTCAACTACCTGAAAGGGGGTTCCAAAGAGGATGGCTCTAGACTGTTCTCAATGGTAGCAGATGACAGAACGAGGAGTAATGGTCTCAAGCTGCAGTGGGGGAGGTTTAGATTGGATATTAGGAAAAACTTTTTCACTAAGAGGGTGGTGAAACACTGGAATGCGTTACCTAGGGAGGTGGTAGAATCTCCTTCCTTAGAGGTTTTTAAGGTCAGGCTTGACAAAGCCCTGGCTGGGATGATTTAACTGGGAATTGGTCCTGCTTCGAGCAGGGGGTTGGACTAGATGACCTTCTGGGGTCCCTTCCAACCCTTATATTCTATGATTCTATGATTCTATGATCCCTGGCCTCAAAGTCCAAGGATCATTATATTGCTTCATCCCTCTTGCCCACCTGTCCCAGACTGTTCTGCCTTGCCAGCTGGGCCTGGATTTCAGCCCATGCAGGTGTGGGGAGAGAAAACGGCACATGTCCGGACCTGGTCTATGGTATGGGGATTAGGTCAGTGGATGTTTCTACTAAACAGAGAGTGGGGAACCTGCAATGTGCCCTAGCCAGCACCATGACAAAGGGGGAGACAGCCTGATTTTAAAATTGTTATTAGGGAAGCACACGGCACTGAGGCATGAACAGTAATGATCATACGAGCACTGCTGCACCCTGCTACCTCTGCAGGTTTGGCACCCCTGCCTGAACCTGGCCCCAAGGTGCAGCCAGTCTGCTGAACTCTGTGAGCATAAACCCTGTGAACCCAGAATAAAATCTATCTCGCTGTAGCTGGCAATTAGGAGCCGACTCCTGTTTTCTTTTTACAGAAACAATCAGAGCATGGGTGGCTGGGGTCATAAACCACTTTCTCTCCCCGTGCCAGGGCCAATCAGGAAGTTAGAGTTGCACTTGTGCAAACATTTGAGTGGGATTATGATCGGAAAAGTACTTCAGTCCACAGCTGCCCCACCGACTCCTGCTGTGCGTGATGTGGGTGAGCGAGTTAAGGTTAAATAGAAATTAACCACCCATGAACCTTTTTGTGGGTTTAAAACAATATGCTCACAATTGTGATCCTCATTATTTTGCATTTAAAGACAGCTTCTATGCTTTCCAGAAGCACCCGGTAAAAGATACTAGTGAAATATCAGCTGTTCTAATGGCCCGAGCTGAGACTAGTCTCTCCCAAGGAGAGTGGTGGAAACCACGCAACACGAGAAGTTTAAAGTCTGACCAGACAGAGCCCCGGAACAGGTATAATCTTGCACTGGTGTAACCCATTGGTGAGTGTGTTTTACAGGTCACCCTCTGT